ACGACACGTTCCGCTCTAGTGGAAGGTTTCCTTCCTAAATGCCCAAGTGCCCCGCCGGCCATCGGCGCGATGGCAAAAAAGGCAGTCGAGGGGTCAGGCTTTGCCACTGAGGCTGAGGACGCCTCCCAGGTTCCAACTGGGGAAGGGTCAGGAGCCTGTGGGCCGTCCCACAGGCCCGTAGGGAAGCGCCCAGTTCCCTCTGGGGAACCGTCAGCCTCGCTGCACCGCCTACGATCTATCGATTGATCGCACCCTCCCCCCGAATGCCTGCGATGGCCCGCACCCTTCCATGACGGGCTCCCATGACGGGCTTGCCTCGGTCTCCGTCTCCTTGCCCACCTCCACCCTGACTTCCTGAGGGGGGCAGTGTCTGCCCTGAGAACGGCCCTCCCCAGCCTCCTGACCACTCCCCTGCTTATCCCTCCCACTGCTGGCCAGGCTTGGTGCTCCCCTCCTGTTTCTCTGGCTGTCCCTGTCTCCCGGGGTCTGCCTGGTTTGCCCTGACTCTGGGACCCCCTGGCAGAACAGCCACCCCACGTCTTCCCTGACCTCTGCTGCCGGAAGACCTCCTTCCCGGAAGCCAGTCTGACCCATCAACCACCGATCTGCTGGATCCCACTCCGGCTCTGGTGCCTGCATTTTCTCTGGCCGGGTGGCCTGCCCGGTCGCTGACCCCCGGCCCCGCCTGGCCCCAGCATCTATGTGTGCCCCAGAGCCTGGACCCTCAGGGGACCCCGAACCCAGGCACGACAGTTGTTCCCGATCCTTCTAGGGCTCCCGACTTCCCCTCCTGTCTCTGCCGTCCCTACCTCGGACACTGAGAGTCGCCCCCACGAATGGTCTGCTGTGTGCAGGACACCACGAGGAGCCTGGGTGTGAAGAGCGGGGCAAGGTGGCGCCTTGTCCTCGAGACGCCGTGGCCCAATGAGGTAGACGGGACGCGTGGAAACAGCAAACCCGCACGGGGGCACCCGGCGACGAGCGTGGCCGCTTTAAGGCACGCGCGGTGTCTGTTCTGAGGTCTCGCTAAGGGGATTATTATTCTTTAATCCTTTCACTTTTCAGGGCGATGGAATTTCAGATTTCGGGCGGTTTGCAAAAATAGCACAAAAACATTCCTAGGTACCCTTGAGCCACGTTCTCCCAATGTTAGCCTCACACAGAAGCACGGGGCAGTTATCGGGAAACGGTGCGATCCGCGGAGTTCGTTCTGTTTTCACGAACTGGTCTCCTAATGCCCCTTGGCTGTCCAAGGATCCAGTGCCCGAGCACAGACCGCACTTCGTGAATGCGTCTCTTTCGCCCAAAACCGGTCCAGTCTGGAAGTTCTCCACTCTTTCCTCCTGAGCCGAAATCAAGAGTCAGGCGCTCAACGGACTGAGCCCCCCGGGCGCTGCGAGAGCAGCTAGTTTTAAATTGAAAAGTGTAAAAGAGAATTCCCCTCGGATACACATTAAAAGTAAAGTCGTTTCCCCTTGAAGTGATGGCCAAGGAAACTGAACAGAAGCACAAACTCAGATTTTCACGGCGGCCTTTCCTGGTTTCAAGGTAAACAACAGCGCCCCCCCCCCCCCCGCCCCGGAGTGGGAACCCACCGGGGAACCCACCGCAGGGACGGACGGACAGGTGCCCTTCCCCCACCGGTGGTTTTCGTCACCAGAAAGCGTTTACCGAACATCTAGTTGCAAAAGGTTTTTTCAACTATGTTCTGCAAAGGGAAAAACTTAATCGTGACATCCAAAGGAGATCCTGAAAGTAATTAAAATTCCATATATTTCTAGACATGGAAATGCGAAACAAACAAAAAAACCTCACCAAATTTCAAACACGAACGATATCCATAAAATAATCCAAATTTTAAAAACTGCGTAAGATACATTTGAATATATTCTGTAAAGGCTCTGGAATGATGAGCCAAATGTTGCCAGGGGTTCCTTCTGAATATCTTTAAATATTTCCGTATTCGTGCTGTTTTTTTTTCACTCTCTTCCTCATTTTCTGCATTTTTTTTAATAATAATAAGCAGTGGTTTTACGCTTAGAGAACATTAAGCCATTTTCATTTTACTGAAAAAATTTCCCCTGAGGACGTTTTGTACTTCTGAGAAGTATTAGTCACTAAGGTTACTAACACGGTTCCACATAGAACTTTTTTTTTTTTTAATTGCCCTGGACGTCTTTGCAAGAAAGTCGCAAATATCTGGAGGCCTGCTTGTGTTCTTACCTTGAGGGGATATTTGTGAAACCACTGGAAACAGAGCAAAGCGTTCTTTTTTTTTTTTTTCCAACGTTTATTTATTTTTGGGACAGAGAGAGACAGAGCATGAACGGGGAAGGGGCAGAGAGAGAGGCAGACACAGAATCGGAAACAGGCTCCAGGCTCTCAGCCATCAGCCCAGAGCCTGACGCGGGGCTCGAACTCACGGACCGCGAGATTGTGACCTGAGCTGAAGTCGGACGCTTAACCGACTGCGCCACCCAGGCGCCCCGAAAGCGTTCTTAAATGAAACAAAATGGCTCCCTCCATGTCTCTGCAGAAAGACCCCGCGTGAAACCTCAGTAACACCTTCTCCTGCTCTGTCCAAACCACAACAGGAGACGTCTAGAGCTTAAAACACATCATGCTATTCTGCACTCGTGAGAATTCCTTAATGCACCGAGGGAGGTCG